CTGTCTCCAAAAAATAAATACATAAATAATAAAATAAAATAAAGAAAAGATGCAAACATGCCAGGGCCCCACCAGACTTACCAAGAAATGGGATATGAGAACAGGGACCCGGGGGGAGGAGGGACAGGAAAGTGACCAAGGTCCAGGGCCGTTGGGTGTTTGTGATGCTGCCCTGGTGACCCTGACTGGCAGCAGGGTTGCAAGCCAGTCTTGGGCACAGTTCCCCTAATCGTGTGCTGGGCTCTAGACAGTGTACAAAGAACACAGTCTCTACCCTGCAGAGGCAGTTCTCCAGAAACTCATCCATGTCCGGCAGTAGTTTAGGTTGTCACAGCCTTGGAGGGAAAGAGATACTGCTTCATCCAATGGGTAGGAAGCTGGGGATGCAGCTTATTGTCCCCCACAGTGCAAAACTCAGCCCCTCACAACAGAGATTGAGCCAGACTCAACTGTCAGCAGTGCCAGGTCGAGAAGCCTGGTCTGGACTGGCAGTGTGCAACAGAACTGTCCATCACAGAGGGGCTATAGACTAAAACGTTCTACAGCCCCTCTGTCTAGTAATGATACCTGCTAGCACATGTAGCTCTTCAGCACTCGAAATGTGGCCGGTGTGACTGAGGAATTAAAATTTTACTTTAATTCACTTAAATTTCAATCGCCACATGGAGCTAGGAGCTATCACACTGCAGAACATAACTGCGGACCTCATTACAATCAGCAATTCTAGCAACACTCCCCACTCTAGAAATGGCGCCCTGCCATGTGCCTTGTGAAATTGGTGTAGATAGCCTAGAACAGGCGTCCTCAAACTGCGGCCCACCTAGGACATTTATCGGGCCCACTGGGTGTTTTTGCTGCCGCTGTGTGTCCTGCTTAGCAGCCAACTCGTCCTGGGGCCCGCAGTCTGGCCCTCCAACAGTCTGAGGGACAGTGAACTGGCTCCCTGTTTAAAAAGTTTGAGGACCCCGACCTAGAATGTCCGGGGCAACATGTGTGTGACTTGCTTCTCACTGAGCTCCACCTGTCAGGAGCATGAAGCGTTCAGTAAACACATCTGCCCCCCAGGCCTGTCTGCAGGAGAGGGCCCAGGGCCTCAGTCCCTCTCTACACAGCTGCTGCTCCCAGGCACATGTGCCATGTCTGTGCTGGAAGCTTGTTTATACCTGTGTACCCTTCCTCTTGGCTCCTCACCTTGATAGTTTCCAGCTCCATGCGAAGGCGGTTATTTTCCGACAGGAGGTCTCTGTTCCTGGTTTCGATTTGTTGCAGCTGCGTCTCCAATTCAGCTTCATATTCTCGGCTTCCCTCCTGGAATTCTCGGAGTTCCTCTTGCGTATTCTCTGCCCTGTGGCAGAATTCCCAAATGTTAAATAAAAATGCACGGCGTGTTTAATGTGTGCTGGGCATAGTGCTGTCAGACGTGGAACATCTCTTTATCCAACTCCCTTTGGAGGCAGAAACTACCATTATTCCCATTTTACAGATGAGAAGATGCGATTTAGACAAGAGGAATGACTTGTCTAACGGTCAGAAGTAGAACTTGGACCTAAACCTGGGTGTGCCTGACTCTAAAGCCAATCTTAACCAATTCACTGTTCACTCATTCATTCAACATACACTTTTGGTGCCCAATATGGAGAAAATACACTTTGGATGTTGTATTTTCTGCAATTTCTATTTCCAGAAGCTGGACAAATTATAAATGTTCACTTATCACACACACCACTACCATCTCTCCCTACCCCATTCCAAACACCCTTCTCTAGCTTTTCAAGCCTTGCAATTCAATGGAATTTTTTTTCTTTTTTTAAATACCAAGCCTGAAGGATCTTTAAGTCAAACTAAGCATAAAGACACTGGGGGGAATGGAACAAGACCTCCACGTGCAAATTGTGAGAGTCCATGAGAAATAAAAGGAAAAATGCTGAACCTCACACCTAACTCCCAGATATGGGCACTGGTTTCAAATTTTAAACTCTGGAACCATATATTTTACTAAGCATAGGGAAAAGTTCTTTGGCCATACACAAAGAACTAACCAGATACAGCACCAAGGAAATGGCAAAAACCCTTTCAGAAAATAAGATGGAAAGTAGCACAGCAGAATGGTTAGGATCACGGGTTTGGAGTTCAATTTCAGCTTTGCTACCCAATGTAACCGTGGGCAGGTTATTCTGCCTTTACTGCAACTCGGTTTCCTCATCTTACCAAAAAAAAAAAAAAAACTACAAAATGGTGTGATCATCGTTTCATTATGGGGCAGTATTAAGACAGTGTAAGTTAAGCCCTTCACAGTGCCTGACATATAAGAAACCTATGATAAGTAATTGGCAGCTACGTTTACAGGAAGGAAAAGTAGGGTCCTAAAGTTTTGAGGACTGACCTCTGCTTGTAGGTCATTGCCAGATCTTTCCAGTAGTTAGCTTCTTCCTCCTCAGAGCTGAAGGTCTTTCCCGAGTCTTCCATCATGAAAACAAGGGAAGAGATTGATCACTCTTCTCGTGGCATGGTGTCTAGGAGAGAAGGTTTTAAAACGATTACCCACATCTGGTTGAACAGTTGATTCTTACACCCTGAACTTTATGCTGGATTAAATGATAAAATACTGCCAACAGATGAAACTAAACCCAAACAAAAGCCAGCCCACCCACCTGTTACGGTCCATGAATTAGTATATAAGCTTACAAACATCACTCCACAAGTATTGAGCATCTACTATCAGACCTAGAGATCCAAATAAGATGTCTCCCAGATCACTGCTTTCCCTTAAGGGGCCTCAGTCTGACGGGAGGGGAATGCAAGTTGCCTGTAAATTATTATGAAACTATGTCCACAGAAATGTGCACAGGATGTTGACACACAACACGTAGTAAACTGCATTTATTTGAGTGTACACTTTGGTGTGTTTTGACATACGTATGTACCGTAAAACCATCACCACAATCAAGATAATAAACACTTCTGTCTGTGCCCAGAATATTCAGGGAATCCCAGAGTCAACCTATGAGTCACGAAAGGCTACCCGGGAGAGGTGATGCATGAGCAGCATGTGAAAGATCAAAGAGCAGGAAGGCATTGGTACAGGGGGACAGAGGAGAAGATGTGCAGAGGGCAAAAGAGAAAAGCAGCCAGACTTGTAGGGGAACTAGAGTACACCTGAGGGCCTGGGCAGGTTGGGCAGACTGAAACACTGAGGGCTTTTATAACATATTAAGAAACTATGGTGATAGGGAGCCCCTGGAGGATTTTGGTGCTGATGTTTGTTTGCTGCAGTTATTATTGGGATACGGTCTTGCTCTGTTGCCTAGGCTGGAGTGCAATGGCATCATCATAGCTCACTGCATCCTCCCGGAATCATGTGATTCTCCTGTCTCAACCACCTGAGTAACTGGGACTACTGGTGTGTACCACCATGCCTGGCTTTTCTTGTTTTTTTGGAGTGGGGTGGGCAGAGTCTTGCTCTGTTGCCCAGGCTAGAGCTAGAGTGCCATGGTATCAGCCTAGCTCACCTGAACTCAAGTGATCATCCCGCTTCAACCACCTGAACAGCTGGAACTATAGGTACATGCCACCATACTTGGCTTTTCTTCTTCTTCCTCTTTTTCTTTTGAGACAGAGCCTCACTCTACTGCTTAGGCTAAAATGCTGTGGCATCAGCCCAGCTCAAAGCAACCTCCAACTCTTAGGCTCAAGTGATCCTTCTGCCTTAGCCTCCTGAATAGCTGGAATGAGAGGCACCTGCTACAACGCCTGGCTAATTTTTCTATTTTTAGTAGAAACAGGGTCTCATTCTTACTCAGGCTAATCTCGAACTTCTGAGCTCAAGGGATCCTCTCACCTTGGCCTCCCAGAGTGCTAGGATTATAGGCATGAGCTCTGCAACCTACGTTGACTAATTTTTTCTCTATCTTTTAGAGATGGGGGTCCTGCTATGTTGCCCAGGCTGGTCTTGAACTGCTGGCCTCAAGCAATCCTCCCATCTCAACCTCTCAAAATGTGAAGATTACAGGCACGAGCCACTCCTCTTGACCCCACTGGAGGATTTTGAAGAGGAAAGTGATATGATGGGCGCTTTATCCTAGCAGCCATGGATGGAATGGGAAGAGACAAGGTCTGAGATGGACAGCTGTTGGAGCAATCCAGGATAGAAGGGAAGACGGCCTGAACCAGAAAATGAGAATGAAGATGAAGACACAAAAAATGAACTCCGAAAATATTCAGAAGGTTACCAAGATGTGATGATTTATTACACTTGGGAGCGAGGGAGGACAAAAATAAGAAAGAGAGCACGCTTCCTGGGGCTCTACCTTCGGCAACCGGGTACCTCTACCATCCCGTCACCAGAGAAAAAGAATACCAGGAGGGGAACTCTTGGTTGGGTGGGATGAAGGGAGACAATGAACCCAGTCTTGGACATTTGTAGTTTGACACATCTGTGACACATCTAGATGCAACACTGGAACCGAAACTCGGGAGCGATGGGCCGATGATACAGATTTGAGTCACACACCTGTAGTTGGTTCTTCCCCCTTTCTTGTGACAGAACCCTTAGAGAATCCCCCAGGGACTATGCATGACTCTCTGGGGATGCCAATGCTGGAAAGGTGGGCAGGGAAAGAAGCAATAATCTAAGAAGGCAGAGAGTCAACAAAGTCGAGACAGATGAGAAGCAAGAAGAACAAGCTGAACTGGGAGGAGATGGTTTCAAGAGGGAAAAAAAGAACATTCCACAGTCACAAGGATGCAACAGAGAAACTGGTAAGATAAGGGCTGGAAACTTTCCACCAGGCTGAGTGAAATGTCGGTCACTGGCAGTGTGAGCAAGCGGAGTTTCCACACAGTGGAGGAGTAACTGGGAGGAAAGGACAGAGAAAGAATTTTGGAGAACTGTGTATGAGGAGACCAATTAGCCAGTAACTAGCAGGCGCACGTGGTGAGGTGGTGTAACTAGCAGGCTTGCAGCACTTTGAGCAGTGGAGAGCAGAGATTAGGGAAGCAAACTTCTAGTAACAGTTGAGCTAATAGTTACAGACTCCCTGCTGACAACGCCTATCCCATATAATAGCTTGTTTTCTGGGTTTGAGGCTCTGAGCTTGTCAAAAGGCTGTCAGGAATCCAAATAAGAAGTCTTCAAGGTTCCTTCCTTCCCTCAAGGGCTGGTAGGTGTCCTTAGGGACAAAAGAATGAACAAAACCCATCACTTTGCAGGACATAATCAACCAGCTATATTTGTGGCCAAAAAACCAAATCACTGGGCTAAATATGTTAGTGTCAACATAGATTCAATCACCAATTTCAGAATCTCTGGAATGAAAAGCACAAATATGCCTATATTCAAGCACAGAACCTATCAATAACTCTACACTTGTTAGTAAGTGTATTTGCATCTTCTCTCCTTCCTTTCTCCCTTCCCTAATTCAGAGAAATCATGCCATTTCTCCACCTACCCCTTCTGGGCAACAGTTTCTCTGAAAGCTTGATCAAAGCAGAGCAGCTGAATGCAGCAGAGAGCTGTTGATTTGTAGGTTTTTTTTTTTTTTTTTAGTTCTGTATACATTCTTCTTTCTGTGATAGTACCCCAGTATTCCCTCGGGGGAACACTACTCGTTTCACGTGGTTCCTACGGATTTGACGTTATCTTTTGCTTTACAGGAGGGCATCTGCCTACTCATGCCTCTAGCATCAGTGACTAACTCAGGGACAGGCCTTAACCCACACTAAGCCAACGACTGGCTTAGGGGTGGGTCAATGAGCTGAGTCAGTGAGTATCCAGGTGTAGGATTTGTGCACAGCAGCCAGAAAAAGAACCTTTCCTTCCACCAGAGATGGTAAGGCGGCAGGAGGTAAGCCTGGAACTGCCAGTGGTCCTCTTGCTATCACAAGGGGACAGCCTGCTTGAGAATGAAGCCAAAACAGAGGAAACCAGAGCCAAGGTACAGAGAACCAGGTCCTAACAATATCATTTGTACACCTGGATCCAGTCATACTTGATTTAGGGTTACGGGAGAGAATCAATTCCCTCTCTTGGTTGTACATACCAGTTAGGATTGGACTTCTGCCTTAAGTCCTAATTAACGTATGGGGTGAATGGTCTTATTTGCTGAAAAAGGAACAAGGAGTATGGCAAGGAGTAGGGCTAAACCTAGGCCTAGTACTCGGTGCTCAAGACATAAGCTCTAATCAGCCCAGATCACGACTAATTTGCAGTCACCAAACCAATTCTATAGTGTCAAGGGGGCAGAGCTCATGCACCTACCAATGGGCACTGTGTGGCCATAAGGACATTGGTGATCTTGTTGAGGATAGTTTCAATTGCGTGGCACTCACCATAGAGTGAGGAAATGAGGAATTAGGAACAGTGAACTGTTCCCGCAGTTTGAAAAAAGATCATGTACAAACTCCAATGTGATCAGTCCCCCACCTAGGTCTCTAAACCTTTCCTTCCCTCCCTACCACCTCTCATGCACTCATGCCTCAGCCACATGCCTTCTGTTCCCTTCTTTGAAGAACCAAACCTGCTTCCACCCCAGGGCCTTTGCACTTGCTATTTGTTTGCGTGGCCAGGGAAGCTTTTCTCTGAGATCTCTGCCCAGCAGATGTCCTTCTTACCATTTGGATCTCAGCTGAAATGTCTTCCCTAAAGGGACATTATTTGAATATCCCACCTAGTGCCCTCTCTAGCTTTCATTAGTGTATCAACCCCTGCTTCGTTTTGTTTTTATCTTCCCTACTAGAAGGTCAGTATCTGAGTATAGGGATCTTTTCTGATCTTGCTTGTTTACCCAATGCCTAGAACTATGCTTGGCATATTAAAAGAATTCAGTGAATGGAAACAGAGAAAGATAGAAATTGATCCTTATGTGAAATGGGATGTGAGGTCAAATAAAGGCAGGAAGCAAGGGCTAGAGGAAGAAAGGAACTCTCTGAAGACTAGTTCACAACTGGAAACCCTAAGAAGCTCATCGGAAGGCCAGGGGAGGTGGCTTAGGACTGCAATCCCAGCACTTTGGGAGGGTGAGGCAGGAAGACTGTTTGAGCCCAGGACTTGGAGCTGCAGTGAGCTATGATCATGCCAACCCAACTTTCCCCATCGCTTGAGTGACGTCAATGGGAAGGGGCTGGAGAAAATGACATCAGAAACTAGGCCCAACCCCAGGTGTATGAGCTAAGGAGTATCTGATATGGTTATCATATTCAACAACCCTAATCCTGCACACTTCTGACAAGAAAGTTTTAGGAAAGGGCTTTTAAAAATTATCATGGCCAGTGGCTTAAAACTTAATCCTCAGGAAAGAAATGAATCTGAGATGTTTTTAGGCTCATCCATTGTAGGGGAGGCTCTAATTACAGGTAGGCTGATGGGAAGGATCTGGTTTGGGGTCTCAGGGACTGAGGAGAAACTAAGCAGAGACCTGGAGTTATGTTACGGCCTGCACAACCTTTTACTCCAACTAAAAGGCAAAAACCACAGGAATGGCATTTCAACCAAAAC